TCGCGTTTATTGTGTTAGTTAAACCTTATCTGGCGGAGTCAGGTATGTTCCAGGAGCTCGTTAAAGTCTGACATTATTTTCAGTTTCAATTAATGATGTAAAAACGTCGTTTAAATATAATGAGTTTTTGTTATGTTGCTTTGAAAAATATAGAACTGTCTCTTATTCTGACTGTTTCTTTTTAAACACAAGTGAGACCTCAAAAAATCATTAATGTTGTAAAAAAGTACGTTAAGAAAAATCTTGTTTATGTGACATGTCCTTCATCATTTTTATGTGTATTGTTTTCCTAAAGCTTCTTTTCCAATTTTAATTGTAACGAATTCCTGTGTTTGTTTTCATTGCAGTTCATATTTCATTTTATCAGTTTTCGAAGTTATTCTAAACGAGATCCTGTGGAAGATTGCAGACAGCTTCTAATTTTTGCTTCCCTAGCGTGAATTAAGCTTAGCGATTGACTATTTTCAAGTTTTCTCGACGTTTCATGACCCCTAGAGTACGAACAAATAGGTATCACGTTTCCGCCTGTCTGTCTGTCGTCTGTGTCAGATTTTATTAGACAGATAATCTTCGAAACTACCGTACCGATTTTGTCAAATTTATATGGATATTAGAAACATCGTATAGGGGCTAATTAAAATTTGCGATTTATGAGTCCGTGTTGAATTTTTCCCCTATACTGCCAGATTAAAAAAAATACACACAAAATTGTATCACGCTTTGCACTTAACTTTGAAGCTCCAAAACCGAATGCTCGGAACTCTTGCAAACGTTTTAAGGTTCATTTTTTTGGAAAAAAAAACGAATGTGCTTAATTAATTAATTAGTCCTCTCTTTTGTGTTGAGAGGACAAAATCAGTCAAATTTGAAACGTGTTAATAGTCGAATTCTTTCGAGGTATAAACATAAACAGTCGAAGTTAAGGATGTACTGAAACATTGAGAATACATTTTTTCTCGTTATCTGCTTTAAATATATTTCATTTTGTCCCCATTTGTGCCTACTGCGTTCCTTTGGAATTTGCATAAGGGCTATCGGGGTGTAATTTGCAGTGGTGAAAACAAAAATCGCAAAATCATATTTTACGATTTTTCAAAGAAGCATTTTTAGAAAAACCGTGGTCTAAAATTGGTAATAACGATATAATAGTGTTTTTATAGTGATTTATAGAGGGTCCATATTTTATTTTATCCGTTTTCGAAGTTATTCTAAACGAGATCCTGTGGAAGATTGCAGATACTGCTAATTTTTACTTCTCTAGCGTTTCCACTGGCTATTTTCAAGTTTTCTCGACGTTTCATGACCCCGAGAGTACGAATAAATAGGTCTCACGTTTCCGCCTGTCTGTCTGTCGTCTGTGTCAGTTTTTATTAGACAGATAATCTTCGAAACTACCGGACCGATTTTGTCAAATTTATATGGATATTAGAAACATCGTATAGGGGCTAATTAAAATTTGCGATTTATGAATCCGTGTTGAATTTTTACCCTATACTTCCAGATTAAAAAAACACACACAAAATTGTATCACACTTTGCAATTTAACTTTGAACCTCCAAAACCGAATGCTCGGAACTCTTGCAAACGTTTTAAGGTTCATTTTTTTGGAAAAAAACGAGTGTGCTTAATTAATTAATTAGTCCTCTCCTCTGTGTTGAGATGACAAAATCAGTCAAATTTGAAACGTGTTAATAGTCGAATTTTTTCGAGGTATAAACATAAACACTCGAAGTTAAGTATGTACTGAAACATTGAGAATACATTTTTTCTCGTTATCTGCTTTATATATATTGCATTTTGTCCCCATTTGTGCCTACTGCGTTCCTTTTGAATTTGCACAAGGGCTATCAAGGTGTAATTTACAGTGGTCAAAACAAAAATCGCAAAATCATATTTTACGATTTTTCAAAGAAGCATTTTTAGAAAAACCGTGGTCTAAAATTGGTAATAACGATATAATAGTGTTTTTTATAGTGATTTATAGAGGGTGATTATAAAAAATCGTTTGAAAAATTGTCACTAAATTTTTAATAAGAATTTGCCGTTTTATTGACATAGATGACAAAGGTATTATGTAAGTTGAATTATTGGTGGCCTATCTACCAGGCAGTTTTTTTCATCGTGGTGTCTGTTTTCTCTCTGTCGTTCTTAAATCCATACTATTCGAGTTTCCTTGGTGAGGGCTGGCTAATGTTTGAAATTCTATTCCACATAAAGATTTCCATCAAAATTCCATTATTTTTAAATTAGTCTTATTCTCAGTCATGTTTCTATGTTATAATCTAATAAATGATGTTATCGCTTATTTCGCTTCTAAATTTCTGATTACAGTTTATTTAAAAGTTCTTTAAATGCTCTCACAGTGTAAGACTTCATCTTTTCTCCGGTATTCCCACAAAAGAGCCCGGGACAAAACCGATTCAACAAAATAGCTTGGTCAAAATTGCTTCACCACAAAATTACTTCGTCAAGCTCAAGACTTAATAAAACACAAGCAAAAAAATTTCACACACAAACCTGACCTAATCTGACCTGCCCTGCCCTGACAGGACCTGAGCTGACCTGATCTGATGTCTCTATTGTCTCGACTAAACTTAACTAACTTAAAACATGTTTAAAATGGTAAATTTGTATAAGGAACGATTTTGCAATTACGCTCCGCCCCTCGGTCTGAGAACGAATGAAAAATTCACCACGGTTAAGATCGAGACGGATGGGTGGGGCTTCTCTTTTGGTTTTCTTTTTTAATTATTACATTTAGTTTTCTTTGTTTACTTAAGAACATATTTCACATGGTGGTTTCTCGTAGAAAAATAAGAATTTTAAAATTAAGTCCGGTCCCTCGGCTTACGACAAATAAAAAAAAAATCATCAGAATTGAGATAGTGTGGGTGGGCGGGGCTTACATTTGGCCTTTTTTTTCTTAATATACATTGCCATCTTTTCATAACAAGAAACTTAAAACATGGTTAAAATGGTTTTTGCAAGGAAATATGGATTTTGCAACTATGGGCCGGAGTTTAATTGCAAAATCGATATTTACTTACACAAAATTTCCATTTTAAACATCTTTTGAGTTTCATGTTGTGAAAAAAAGTCTACACATATTAAAACAAAAAAGCAAAATGCAAGACCGCCCACCCGCCCTATCTCAACTGTGATTTTTTTTATTCGCCGTGAACCAAGGATACAGAGCTTAACTTCAAAATACTTATCTCTTTATAAGAAATTAAAAACAAGTTTTTGAGTATTGTGTTCTTCAAAGATTACTGTGTATATTAAGAAACAAAGGCAAAATATAAACCCCGCCCACCCACCCCGTCTCAATTGTGATGATTTTTTTATTCTTAGAAACTTAAATCACGTATAAAATGGTAAATCTTTGTAATTAAATATGCATTTTGCAATTACGCTCCGCCCCTAGGTCTGTCAAAGAATGAAAACTTCATTACTATTTAGGTCAGGGGGTACTATATTGACAGGTTACGCTTTTCTGCGCCTTGCTCAACACTATTCTTTTCTTAAAAATACATACTTAATGTAATATGGGTGGAGTTTGGAGTATAACAAAATGTTTCCTGAGATTCGATAGTAAATAGTTAGTGAAGTACACATAAGCATTAGTACGATTTTAGTTTTACAGCGACTAAAAGGTTGTGAAACTGAAGTAATATTATTATAACCCCGAACTACGAACTACGAACCCAGGAAAAACTTTCTAAGTCGGTTAAAGTAGAGTATATAAGTTGTGATTTTCCTTTTTCATTCTCTTTCTTCATGAAATTTTGATGAAATTTGTGCTACTACACTACATAAAAAATATTTGATATTTGATAAATCAAAAATTATGTTTTCATCTGGCACTTTCACGACGGGTCGTCTCAATAAAAAAAATAAGCGCGTCGAAAAAAGCGAAAATAGTAAACACATCAACCCTTAAATGATGTATTATGTTTCCACCGGCGACCTCCCTGCTATCGTTTAGATGCGACAAGATCTCCAAGGATGTAAAAGATTTTTCAAGTAATAGTTTTCCGAACTTTCGCCTTAAAAAAGTCTCCAGAGAGCAAACGTGAAAAGGATAAATCATAAATTCGACTCCTCGCGCAAAAAGAATGGACGTCGGTATTTTCTGCCTCGCAACAAACTTAATTGACATCCAACTCCGAAGCAGCACAATATACACCGCCTCCGCCGTACAATACCACGCAGATATTACCTCCCCAAGTAATACGCAAATTAATAAGATTCTCCTGCTACGCTAGAATCCTAATATACCGGTTATTGAATTTTTCGAGCTGTTGACTCTGTCGCGTAATCTAACACATATGAATCACGTTTGACATGACGCAACATCCCCAATAAACGTTAAAGTGGGTATACAAAAGGGCGTAGGCACAAGTATCACAAAGACAGGATATTTGTTTACTCGGAATGTTCATCCTTAGCTTCGCGAGAGCACGGTTTCACGTGACACAGGTTCCTCTTTCATCCTCATTTCTAAAGCTCAACGACTGCTCGAAGCTCGCCGCCTGCGCACGGCTATAAAACGCTCGGCCACTGCAACGGAAAGCTCGCTTAATTATTTAAATTGCATCTGCAAACAATACGACGCCGGAATATTAACACACCATTAACTGTCAAAATAAGACAGTCGACGGCTGCAGGACGAGTCGGGAAAGGAATCGTTTAAAAAACATTACTGTGAAATTAAAGGCTAGAATCATGTGTGGTGACTCTTTTAGACAATACTTAAGTAAATAGATCGAGACACGCTTCAATAACTTCAGAGTAAACGATTTTTAAAAATAAAATTTTTCTTGCTCCAAAAGCTCAACTTTCTTTTTAATTACTTTGGTATTGCGTCTTAAAGTACACAAATAATAGTAGAACGGTCTTAATTAAAATTAAAGTTTTGAAGTCCCAGTCCGGATTGCACATCTCATCTCAGCGTTTATTAATTTTCAAGAGCCATCACTAATATCGTTTTTTTTTTCCAGGTGCGGACATTATTCGTAAGCGGACTACCTATGGATGCCAAGCCTCGGGAGTTGTATTTATTATTCAGGGCTTATGAGGTAAATTTATTTCGTTTTATAGACCTTTTCACTTAGTTCCCCATTATTGATAATTCAGGTAATTATTTTCAATTAGTCCCGAACCGAATTTAGTCAGCAGGAATTCCCGCTTAGTGACGCTAGTTTAAATGCGCGATTACATGAATTTATTGACACTGGTATTTTTTATTTTTAGGGTTACGAGGGATCGCTACTCAAAGTTACAAGCAAAAATGGAAAAACCGCTTCGGTAAGTGTCCGTGGGGATTTAAGAAAAGCCATCTGTTTTTGTTGCTGTTGAAAGATTAATTTTTCATTTATTATTTGTTGGGTGTTTTTCTAAATTATGTTAGTGAGATGGGGAGAAAGGGAGTGTCTCAAGACGCACATTCGGGTTGTTTTTACATGCGAAGAGTTGAATGTTTTTGTGAATCCTAATTCCATTGAAATGAGTTTCGGTTTTTATGGGAAAACAGAATCGAAAAATTTACAGTAGGATGCGTCACCAAATTTTCGTAACTATGTTGCCACATCAACGTAAGTATTATAGTAGTTTTGGATTACTATAAAGAACCGTTTTTGGATTCAGTGTTTCCGTTTTTATTTTTATTTTTCCAAATTTCTTAGAAAATTGATTGACACAATTATGGTGGAGGCGCCGGGTGTCTCATTAAGTGAGCTCAAATTATTGTATCATATTTGTCAACGTGCTGTATAATTTTCACTTATACAGTCAACAAATACAATTGTTAATAATAATATTCAACAATTTACTTGCACCTACAAACGAATTATTTGAATTTAACTTAAAAGTTTGGTTCTACTTGAAAACTTTTTTATGAAAGATAACTTGGAAGTAAAACAAATTAACAAATTTTCATTTTAGCAAATCAGGATATTGATTTTCGGGGGGGAAAGTGATTAAAAATTCAACCAAACCGTAACACGAAACCGAATGATCTGCCTTTATTCTGCCTCTGTGCCTGTAACTGTCTCATTAATAATAATTTTGATTCCACTGTTGTTGCGTACCTTTGTTTAAAACTTCCTAAACTCAGATTAAATACGACGCAAGGTTACTCTGTGGTGGAGGCGCCGGGTTACTCCTACTTAATTTTTTAACAACCTTTCAACAAAATTATATCACTGGGGAGTAACGTTGTCAGAAGTGCGCATTTAGTAATTTATACATCACCACCTAAAACTTTGTTTTTTTTTTTTAAGTGGATTGTTTCGGAGTGTCAATGCAGAAATCTGTTCAATAAACTTTCAGATACTGATGGAATTACTTGGACATTTTTTGTGTCATAAAATTTAATCAGCTTACTCAAATATGCATCAATTTAACAAAAAAGATAAAGAAAAAATTAAGACAATATATAGATGAACTAGAAGTGAAGAATATTTGTTGGCTATGATTAAAGGAACAAGTTGTAAAATATCTCATTACATAATATTAAGTAGGCTTTGAAATTTCCAGAATTTTGCCGCCTCTATGTGATGATTGACGACTACTCGGTGTTTGTCAGTCATAACGTAACGTTTTTAGGAACTCCTGTGTGTTTCCTAGATGACAGGTAGGCAACCAATAATTCAGCTAAAATGATAACTTTGTTACGTATCTCAAAGAAACGACAATTTTTTATTAAAAATGCAATGACAGATTTTCCAAAGCCAACTTGATGTACGATCTTCTCAATTTGTAAAAATACGTTAAATACACTAATTAAAAAGTCCGTCAATTATATTAGAAGGTTACAAAAAGATAGGTTCCTTAAGTGGAAAGAAGTCAAAATCGAGCATATGGAACTAGCGATGAAAAACCAGAAAAATGTTAGGATAAGAAGAAAAATAATAGGAGGCAAACAACACAAAAAAAGAAAAAAAGATTGAGGGGGGAAAATTGTACGCATAAAGTACTCACACAAAGGGTAAATTTGAAGAGATGGGGCAACATAAATTAAGACTAAAATACGATTACGTAAAATTCACTGCATTTTTATCTTCATGATGTCCCCGGTTTGAGTTTACAAAAGGATTTTTTATTTGTTATTGTACACAAAAACTGAAAGGAATATAAATATTTGCTTAACTTAAACAAATATTTAACACTAACAAAAACTTTTAAATAATCCAGATTTTTTAAAGTAAATCGATTTTATCCAGATAATTGCTTCCATTGTATTAAAAACATATTTTACAGTTGACAAATTGTAGTTTTAATTGTAGAATTAGTTATATTAAGCAAAGCAACAGCTTTTATTCTTTTTACATTTTTTTAATTACAAATAACAACGTTTTTCCTCCGTAAACTCAACCCGGGGACCTACTGAGTATAGATAAATTCTCGTTTATCAAGTCGGCTTTGGACTGCAATGAAATTTTTCCGCTTCATAGAGATTGTGTTTATACTAATTGGTATTGGAAACATGTGCTAGTGGTGAGCTCATATATCTAGTACTACTATATTGCTAACTCTTCAGAAGTAACGTAGAAACGGTGTTCACGGACAGAGAGAGACATAAGATGTTGTTTTCTGTCTATAAGACTACCGAGGGTCTGTGCGCATGTACACAAAATGGAAGCGAAAGTACGAAATGTCAAAACGCATCCAATCACGCTATCGACTACAAATCAAGCAAGCACGAGCACAGCATAGATAACAATCAGTAGGGACGGCTCGCCGTTTTTCGTGACCCGTTTTCGTGGGTGGTCGTTCGCTTTATGACCGAATGAGGGCGCCCAACTGACGTCTAAAATATTTGAAATTTGGCAGTTTTGTTACAATATTTTTGCCGGTTTTGCTTGTTTAAGACTACTTTTCCAGTAGAATTGTACAAATAGTATAAAAATGTAATTTTCACAATAAAAGGTAAAATCTTCGTCCGATGAATTTTCATACAGGATCCCTGTTGTGCGCCTGCCTTATTCTCTCCCTCGTGTTTGGAATTCTTGGAAAAGATAGTAAACATAACACACTTTTTGTTTAAAAAGTCGTCGCAAACGAACAACAACGGTGGTTATGAAATAAATATAAAAAATTTATTATATATGATTCCGTTGTTGTGGTAAAATTTAATATAAAAGTAATAAGAAACAAACTACACGTAACAAAAAATTATAATATAACGATAATTTCTTTTTTTACATTTGTGAATTAGAGCAAATTTTTAGTGAAAATTTTGAAAATATAATTTTACAAACAACTACTATGTTGAAATTTTTAAATTTATATAAGCAAGCTACATTTGTTCATCCATGCCAAAACTTTCCATACGATTATTTGCTTGCTTTGTATGCTAGGATGAGATTATTTTATGCACTAAAATTTGTAAATGCTAGCTTTAAATTTACAAATGCCAAAGGTGAAAAAATTAATAGAAAAAAAATAATTTGGCAGCATTAACTTTTTTCCTTTTTGTAATTTAATTTTTATTTTATTTATTTATTTTTTCTTAAATAAACCTCTTTCTTTTTAGATGTATTTATTGCATTATTTTTACAATGATAATTAAACCTCAAGTATTCAGGGAAAGAATGTGCGAATTGTCAAATTGTATAAGTAATAAAATAAAAACTGTAACAAATCATCGTGTTTATAATTTAAATATCGACTTTTTTTTTCTTATTGCGATTCATGATTATACGATTTGAGCAAACTACACAGTTTGCAATATTGCGTACACGAATCAATTTTTGAAATTTTAAATGAAGTGATACTTTTTAAATTGGTTGGCGACATCTAGGAATAGTTTAGGCAACGACCATCCATGACGGCTTAAAATTCGGGTCAGAAAGAACAAAGGCGCCGACACGAGCTGTCCCTACTGATTGTTATCTATGCTGTGGCACGAGTGTATGCGCAGTACTGTTTAGTACCACAGAGAGACAGAGAGGTCCGATATATTGCTTTGCCGTTATGTTTTCGGACTATTTTGAGGCCAGTTAGCAATATAGTACTATTAGATATATGGGTGAGCTCAAAAGTGCTGACATCTGTCAATTCTATGCCGTCAATTAAAATAACATAACCTAGAAATGTTGATACATTTATTCAGATTCCTAATTACGGTTATTGTTAATAAACACTGTGTTAACTAATTATAATAAATAGCACCTGCTATATAGACAACCAGTAGTCAAGCTTCAGTATTTGTTCACGACAATTTTGACGACTTTTCCATAGCCTACTTGACTTACAAACATTTCAAAACAGACTGCACATAGTATACAACATGAAAACAAAGACAAACCTGAAAACTGCAGAGGAAGAATAAATAGAGAGAAAAAAATTATTAAGTAGATAAGAGATTAAAAAATGAACTACAAAGCAAAAATACATCCCCAAATGGACAATGGGTTTCAGGAAAAGCAGAAGTCCTATTACCAATATGTATACAGGTGATCAAAAAATCACGGATAAGCTCGATGATACCTTTTTGAAAAACCACTGAAAAACTCAAAAAAAATTGTTAACAAACAAAACTTTCGAAAATATTAAACGCCAAAATTTGAAAAATTAACTTAGTAGTTATTAATAAATAATTTAATAATAATTTGCTTGATTACAATCCACGAATTCATTTTTTTTTCGATAGTAGATGTGGTTATAAACAATTTTTATCGGAATTTTAGATTTTGAAACGTAGAATAATTATGAAATTAATTCTTCAATTTTGAATGTAACATTTTCAAAAATTTGGTTCAGAGATTTTTTTAGCAATTTTTTTCCAGCTCTTCAAAAGTGAATATGTCATTTATTATTTATGGCAATTTTGGAACGCAGTTTGCAACACCGTTTTCAGCTTCCAAAACTCTCGACATTGTATCAGTAGTTATATAATGGGGGTCCTAGCTCAAGAAATCTGACCTAGGAGCCTCACTTCTTTTTATGGAGCGTTTGTCATCGTCTTGTCCTTGGTTGACCTGACCCCTTGTTCGGTCGTGTCGTGTGGAGCGGTCATTGACCTTTTCGGTCGGCACGTGTCTGTTGTTGACCTGAGCGTTCAATGGTCCCTTGGATCATGTATGGCAGAGACTCGAGTTCTATCCTGACTATGCCCTCATATAGCTTAGTAGGAAAATAGTGTAATCAGGTTGGCCGAGCGGTCTAAGCGGTTTAAGGCGTTAGATTTAAGCAATGATTCTCGAAAGGAAGCGTGAGTTCGAATCCTACACCTGGCAGTTTTTTTTGCGTTTAAATAAAACACATTTTAATTGTATGTTATGTATTGAGAAAGTATAGAATACAACCAGCTGTAAATATTTTTAACACTATCTAATGAACAGAAACATTTTTTATTATTAGGTATATGATTATCATATGCTGGGATTTCTTTAGTCAATTTCACAATCTGCAATGCTTTCTAGATTTACCGAGGACAAGACGATGACAAAGGCTCGGTAAAAAGTGGTGGAGCTCCTAGCTCATATGAGTAAAAAGAAGCTTTTAAAAGCTTCTACGACACAAGCTTATTCTTATTACTCATTTACAACAAGAAAAAATCAACAATGTATTTGTTACGATGTCTAGAGTTTTGTAATCTGAAAACAGTGGTGGAAACCGCGTTCTCATTGAGATATTGATTTTTTTTTAATATGATGCAATATTTTCGACACAGTTTAAAAAAATGATACTAAACTGATAAAAAAAAACTACCCTTGTTTTATATAGTGAAAATTGTGGACAGGTTATACTTAAAATTTCATAACAAGAAATAATGGAGATCTTACGTTCTGAAAATGAACGAAGTACGACATAAGAGGTAAAAGTAGGTAGTAGTAAGTAAACCAAAAATATTGAAGAAAAGAATAAAAAATTATATCCAAAGCAACGAACAATGCCATGGACAAATGGGTTTCAGGAATAGTTGAAGTCCAGGTTTCTTAATATCATTAAAAACATTCTTTCGTCGTAGTTCTTCCGAATTTTCAATTCGTTGTCAAATCACGGATAAGCTTAACGGTAAGAAACCACTGAAGAACTTGAAAAAAATTGTTAACAAAATTCGTGAACCAAACTTTCGAAAATATTACACTTCAAATTTGAAACTTCGTAGTACAATTAATAGTTTAATAATAATTTGCCTCATTATAATCCACCAATTCTTTTTTGTGTGATCGTAGATAATTTTTATCGGAATTTTAGATTTTAAGACCTATAATTATATAATTAATTCGTCAACTTTGAATGTAGTATTTCCAAAAGTTTGGTTCAAGGATTTTTTAGCAATTTTTTTCGATTTCTTCAGAGCCTTCGTAACAAAGTACCATCCAGCTATTCCGTCATTTTTTGATCAGCCTGTATATCGCAAGGGATTGTTTTAATTGTAGTAAAATTTTTGCATCACGTTTGTTTAAAACTCAGGATGTCATTTGTTACTTATGAACATTTCAGAACGAAGTTTTCAACATCGGTTTCAGCTTACAGAACTCTCGACGTCGTATCAGTTGTTGTATAGTGGGGGATCCTAGCTCAAGAAATCTGAGCTAGGAGCCCCACTACTTCTTATCGAGCATTTGTCATCTTCTTGCCCTCGGTTGACTTGACCGCTTGCTTGTGCGGTTTCGGGTAGGGTCATTGACCTTTTCGATCGGCACGTATTCAAGTTAGTCAGGTTGGTCAAGCGGTTTAAGGCGTTAGATTAAGCTCTGATTCTCGAGAGGGAGCGTGGGTTCGAATCCCACACCTGACAGTTTTTTGCGTTTAAATAAACCGACATTTTTTTGTTATTAGATGTATGATTATCACATGCAGGGATTTCTTTGGTCAATTTCACACAATTTCTTGTGTGGTTTCTAGATTTACCGAGGACAAGACGATGACAAACGTTCGATAAAAAGTAGTGGGGCTCCTAGTCAGATTTCTTGTCTGACTTGTTGACTTGTTGAGAAACCACTGAAGAACTCAAAAAAAATTGTTTACAAAATTTTTTAACCAAATTTTCGAAAATATTAAACTTAACCGTGAAATTTTGATCCCCCGTGTATATTTAAAGATTTAGCAAAAAAGCACTATAGTCATTTTTTACAAATTAAAAGATCTTTTTGATGCCACAGATATGAAGATTTTGTAAATATATTTCACTGAAAAATCAATTTGGTTACAACGATAAAGTAGTATATGCAGGATCAAGATCTACAATTATATAGTAAGTGGAAAAATATCAGAACAATTTTAAACCACGAAAGGTCTAAGGCGAGACCGTCCAATGATCACGTGAAAATTGCTAAAACAACCAGCGCACTTATTACCCTAATGAATCAATCGAAGTTCAAAAACACGTGTTGCCTAACCAATAGAAACGCTAGGTTCGTGTTCACGGGTTAAATACGCGCATTTATTACTGCAGGAATTCTAGTTTAGTCTTTGTGTTGTAGCAATTAATGAGAAAGGATCAATAGGAATAATGGTTGGAAATATGTAAGGAGCAAGAAACATAACCTTACATTTTAAAATAAACAGTTTCTGTCACGTATGCAACCACAACCCCAACATATGTGGTCGTATATCTGATAGAAAAGACAAACGAATATTTTGTGGTCGTGTTTCTTTTACATTATGCAAGATTTCGCGGTTTTTGCAAGACATTTTCCCAAAATTTTCTGTTTTTCGTATTTTGGTTTTCATTTTTGTTAACAATAACTTATGTCTCGCAGGTGCCAAAAGGTGATAAAAATAAAAAATTATCATTATTTTTTTTGTTTTAATATTGATTTTTCTTTAAAGAAGCTGTTTTGCAAAACGAGCTTCTGAAGTAACAGCGGAATCATTGTCCGTATATTTTACAGCTTCAATTCGGTCTAATTAAACGAATAAAAACCAAAGCTTCCAACAAAAAGATTTGAACCATCTGATCACTCTCGCCCGCGGTTAAAATAAAAACGTCCTTACTTAGAAAGTGCGTAGAGCCGGTCGTCCTCGCAACAGTAATTAAAACAGATGGCTTCCTGTGTTAATAATTCCATGTTAATAACCCAACTTGTTTGCAGCCTGTGGGATTTGTGACTTTTAACACTCGAGCAGGAGCGGAGGCAGCTAAGCAAGACTTGCAGGTGGGTCTCTTTACACATATTTGTAACATTTAAGTTTGTTACCCTGTAACATATTCCCCTTTTGCCGCATGCACCGCACCGTGTGTCACCCACAGCAGAAAAACAGACCTGCTTCCACGGCGTTAGATCTTTTACCTCTTTCTCTGTTTTAACATTTCCTATTCCCAGACATAACATTATCAGAGAGGACCTTCATCCTCCACATATGTGTTCTCCTGGCAAGTGCTGACCTAAATTATTTACTACATTCGTTCATATTAGAAAAAGTCTTTTCCCGTTTGTGTACTACCGGGAATCAACTTAATAACGAAAATTGATTGCCGGTTTCGCCGCTTGCTTGATATCGGGGTTAAATGATTACGTACTCCCCGATTCATTTTTTTGCAGAAATATAGACTAGTCGCTGTGTCTAAATCATGAAAAATTGCACCCCCATGGATGCAGCGGTGGAATTACGAGCTTTTAGATGAATTCCGCCGCGAGGGCCGGAAATAAGAGCGAACATGTGCTTTTCTGATATGTCATCAAAGTGACAATATAAGTCAGTTTATATCACGACCACTGATTGCTTGGTTGCGCAGCGGCAGCCGACTTTGCTTTTTCTAAGTCTAACTCTGTTGTCACTCTGTCATTAACACGTTAGCTTTAAAATACCGCTGCGACTATGGATTGCTTTTTCTACGTCTGACTAAATTAAAACGATGTAGGAAACATAGACTGCTACTACTTCATTAAGTTCAGGTCTAACTCTGTTGTCACTCTGTCATTAACAATTGTACATTTAAGTGCAATTCTGTCAAATGTTCTTGAAGTAAAGACAGAGTTTTACGATTGCAGACGCAGAAAACTCAGCTTTTTAGTAGTTGTAATTTTCAAATGGAGCGGGTGAAGTATGTATGACGTCATAGAAATCGTACGTCACTTTAAACTTTGTTGTTTAATTAATACGAGGGTGGATTGATAAATAATGAAACAAATGCAAACATTGAAAAAAAGTCTATTTTAATAATTGATTCACTATTCAACATCGAATTTGTGGGTTCATGATAAATTCTCTAGTTCTTGCCTGCGTCTTGCCGCTCGAACTGCAAAAGCTGGCTTTAAATATCTTTCCTTTAATGTCGGTTTTAATTTCACAAAGAACCAGAGGCGTCTAAACATATTTATATTTTGTTCGTTTCAGTACGATTTCGCGTCTTTATTATAAAGTAAAAAAACTTGTTCACTTCTAACCTTTGAAATTCGTGACTTAAACATACATGGCGTGTCACTATCAATACTGATCTTACAGAAAGATATTTGACATACAATGCAGTATTATTTTTATTATTAAAGGGTGGCGGTTTTGTGTTTCTAAATTAAAATAAAACTTCAAAAAAGTGGAAATTCTGCCCTCGTGTAATTCAAACAGTCTTGAGATTTGTTCTAACACTATAAATAATAATCTAAAGTTACGTTTATTGTTTAAGAATGTACAAGTTGTGGTGCTGTTCTCATGTGACAAACATGTAACGTTAGACAAAATATAAAAAATACTCGTGCTAGACTAATATTGGAATCGAAACATTTACCTTTCTACTTCCTGAGCATAAGCTAATCAAGTCCATCGGACGACTGGGTACTTCTATGTTTTCTCGCCGTTTCACGACCCCAAGTACTGCAGGGGTCACGAAAAAATAGGTGTCCCGTTTCCATCTGTCTGTCTGTTTGCCGTCTGTCCGACTTTTTATTAGACAGATAATCTCCTAAACTACTGGACCGATTGTTGTCAAATTTTAACCAAAAATTGGATATACATCCCCATCAACAATAGGATGACGTCATCTCCAAAATTTACATTAGTACATATTACTTCAACGTTATAAAATAAGTTACTGCTTTAATTTTTATCCTAAACATCCAGTTTTTTGGAAAAACATTCAAAATTGTATACTAAGATTTTACAAATTTACTTTGAAATTGCATACCAAATGCGCTGAAAATTTGTAAGCTTTTTAAGCTTATCGTAAGCATGGTTAATCAAGATTTTTTTCGTTTATGTCTCCCTCAAAAATGATGACGTCATTTTACAATTTTTGTCTAATAAATGTTCTTTAAATTTTATAAAATATAACATCCTCGTGCGCGTATGATACTTATATGAATCCGTGTTGAGTTTTTGCCCTTGGCATCCAGACTTTTGTGGAGAAAAAAATCAAAATTTTGTAGATCAATATTTAACAATTTAACTTTGAAATTGTAAAAACTGATATGATGAAATCTTGTAAATATCTTAAGGTTATTGAATGCATGGTAAATCGTTGATCAAAATTTGTTCGTCATCTTACAATTTTGACGCATAAATGTTCAAATTTATTAGTGTTGTGTGATTAGTCCTCTTTTCTAAGTCTTCATTGATCAAATGATGAAGTATATACATAAACAATCGAAGTTAAGCATCTACTGAGAAACTAAGAATATCTGCATTTTTTTTTTAATTACCCCACTAGTTTTTACTTTATAGAATTTATTTATTTTTATTTTATTTTTTATCACAAAACGAAAATCGTAAAATCCGATTTTATAATATTTGAAAGAAAGAAGATTTGATGGATTACAATACTTCAAGGGCGAAGGAATTCTGTGGAAATAATTTTCGAATTGTTTTAGTTAATTAAGAATGTGAAACCTTCTCGAGGGCCTCATTTTTTTTTTTTTAATAATATGAAGCCTTCTCGGGGGTCCCAACTGTCTGTTTTTTTTTTAAATGTGAAACCTTTTCGACGGCCCCAACTGTTTTTTTTATAAAGAATGTGAAACCTTCTCGGGAGCCCCAACTGTCTCTTTTCAAAACGTGAAATTTACTCGGATGCCCCAAACTGTCTTTTTTTTAAAGAATGTAAAATTTTCTCGGGGCCCAAATGTCTTTTTTTAAGAACTGTTTTTTTTTAATGTGAAGCCTCGTGGCCCCCAACTGTCTTTTTTTTTAAGGAGGTCAAACCTTCCCGGGGTCCCAACTGATTTTTTAACGAAGGTGAAACCTCGAGCACCCCAAATGTCTTTTTTATGCAGAATGTGAAACCTTCTCGGGAGCCGCAACTATCTCTTTTAAGAATGTGAAACCTACTCGGGGGCTCCAACTATCTTTTCTCTAAAGAATGTGAAACCATCTCGGAGCCCCAAATCTCTTTTTTTAAGAACTGTTTTTTATATATTTTGTAATATCATGCTTTCTCGAGGGTCCCAACTGGTTTTTTAAGAAGGTGAACCCCCGGCGGCCCCAAATGTCTTTTTTTAAAGAAGGTGAAACCATCTTGAGGACCCCAACTATAAAGAAATAACTGTCTTTTCTTTAAAGACTGTGAATTTTTCTCAGGGCCCCAAATGTTTTTTTTTAAGAACTTTTTTTTTATGTGTAGCCTTCTTGGGGATCCCAATTCTCTTTTGTTTTAAAGGAGGTGAAACCTTCTCGGGGGTGCCAACTGTCTTTTTTTAAAGAGAGGGAAACCTTCTCGGGGGTCCCAATTATCTTTTTTAAGAATGTGAAACCTTCTCGGGAGACCCAACTATCTCGTTTAAGAATGTGAAACCTTCTCCGAGGCCCCAACTGTCTTTTCATTAAATAATATGAAACCTTCTCAGGGCCCCTAATGTCTTTTTTAAGAACTTTTGTTTTTAATATAAAACCTTCTCGGGGGTCCCAACTGTCTTTTTTTTAAAGAGGGGGAGACCTTCTCGGGGGTCCCAATTATCTTTTTTTTAAGAATGTGAAACCTTCTCGGAAGACCCAACTATCTCGTTTAAGAATGTGAAACCTTCTCGGGGCCCCAAATGTCTTTTTTTTTAAGAACTTTTTTATTTTTTGTTTTTTTTTATATGAAACCTTGTCGGGGTCCCAACTTTGTTTTTGAAGATGTGAACCGTTGGAGGCCCTAAATGTATTTTTATAAAGAATGTGGAACCTTCTTGGGAGCCCCAGCTATCTCTTTCAAGAATGTGAAACCTTCTCGGGGACCCCAATTTTCCTTTTTATAAAGAATGTGAAACCTTCTTGGGAGCCCCAGATATCTCTTTCAAGAATGTGAAACCTTCTCGGACGCCCCAACTGTCTTTTCTTTAAAGAAAGTGGGTCCCAAATGTCTTTTTTTAAGAAGGTGAAAATATCACAAAAAGTAAAACTTCGCAAAATCAAATTTTCTAATTTTTCAAATTGGACTGCCCTTCAAGTACGAGGGAAGTTCGATCGAAATAACTTGTGACCCATTTTTTTGGTGTCGCTAACAATCAAAACCGCGCTGAAAGCTCGGTTCCGGAAACATAAAATTTGTGTCTCAATAAACAAAATCCAATCTTATTTGCGCCATCAGTCTCTCATTCCATAAATTAATTACATCCTTTATCGCATTCTTCCCTTTGTTTTTTCCTCCTTTCGATTCGTATTGATAAATCGTCTCGAAGGAGGCCGCGTCAAATATTCACGAAACGCCTCGTCCCCTTCTCACGTGAATAATGCAAATCTTAATTTTGCAAAACGTTTTCTAGTAAGGCATTTAGGGGGCAGGGAAGTCATCAACGATAGCCCGAAGCTATATTGATGATTCCCTTGCTAATAAAGTGGAGACGGCCGCAGAAGTTTTAAATGTTTCCGGGTCAACAACATCACCATCTAAGTTTGATAAAGTAAACATTTTTACTCCCCGAGCGATGGCTAACGATGCTAGAGAGATAATCTCCGAAACTTTTAAATGTAACGTGATTGTCACATTAGTACAGCATACTGGCAAATTTTACAAGACTATACTATACACGAACGAAGACTAATTTAGACCTATTCTAGTATTGGACGCCCCTGGTAACGCATTTAGGCGGCAGCACTTACCATTCTGTCGACGGCGCATCCCGGACCCGTTTCCGGGATGCGCCGTCGTCGTCCCTTAGCAATTAACGGCATATTGACATCACGGTCACACATTTTGTGGGCAATTTTGCAGCAGGGCGTAAGGTTTGACCCCGACATGCCTCAGACGATCCGACTGGAGTTTGCTAAAAGTAACACGAAGGTTAGCAAGCCCAAACAGCAAGCTGCTAACGCCGCCAACACGCACCCAACTTTGATGCACCCCCTCACCGGACGTAAGTACACCGGCCGCCCCCGGAGACGAGGGACGGCGCGCTACCCGACCGCACACCCTTCCTCACCTCCCTCCACGACGCTTCACTCCTTGTAGTCTACTAAATAAATACGAGATGTGACTAATAACTAAACAGTTGGTGGAGTAAATGTCAGGGGAAAGTCTATATTTTATAGCGACCTTTTTGACGGGGTGGTAGACAGAAATGGTGAGGTTGGAGAATCGTGTCGCGGGTTCATGTGTAACTTGTGTAGTTTTCAGAGTGAGCATCTTTGGAAATGGAGTTTTATGTTTTTGTTGTTTATAGCTTTTGATTTTTTTTTATGGAGATGTACTTCGCTGCAAGAAAGATGGGAAAAGAGTGGTAGGAAATGAGCACCGTTATGAACCTACAGGAATTTATTTCTATATTATACAGGTGTTCTATATCGACTGATCTAAACTGCTACTACTGGGCATAAAGCACACATTGTATTCTATTAAAAAAAATAAATAAAAATAACCGACGCAATTGTGCTCAATACATTTTTTAATAGCTGCTTTTATTTAGAAGGCCAAAGTTGTCTTCACTTTCGAAGGAACTGGAATTGCAATAATCAAGAGTGTGAAATTTTAATATAGGTCGATTTTCTGGGCTGGGTGGGCGGGGTTTTTCTTAATGTACATAGTATTCTTTGAACAACACGATACTCAAAAACATGTTTTTAATTTCTTGTAAAGAAATAAGTATTTTGCAGTTAAACTCCGCCCCCTTGGTTCACGGCGAATAAAAAAAAATCATCACAATTGAGATAGGGTGGGTGGGCGGGCTTACATTTTGCCTTCTTGTCTTAATATGTGTAGACTTCTTTTCACAATATAAAACTTAAAACATGTTTAAAATAGAAAATTGGTATAATACAATATTTAAAAAAAAGGGACAAATATAAGCCCCACCCACCCACCCTATCTCAATTGTGATGAGTTTTTTTATTCGTCATGCGCCAAAGGAGCGGAATTTAATTGCAAAATCCTTGTTATTTCTCTACAAGAAATTACCATTTAAGACATGTTTTTGAGTATCGTGTTATTCAAAGAATACTATGTATAGTAAGAAAAAATTACCACTTTAAACGTGTTTTAAGTTTCTAAGAATAAAAAATCATCACAATTGAGATGGGGTGGGTGGACGGGGTTTATATTTTGCCTTTTTTCTTAATATACATCGGAGTGTTTGAGCAATATAATACTCAAAAACATGTTTTTAATTTCCTTTAAAGAATTAAGTATTTTGCAGTTAATATCCGCCCCCTTGGTTTACGGCGTATAAAAAAAAACATCACAATTGAGGTAGGGCGGGCGGGCGGGCTTACATTTTCCCTTTTTCTTTTCACAACATGAAACTTAAAATATGTTTAAAATGGAAAATTTGTATAAGGTTTCCTTATATTGATTTTGCAATTCGGCGTCACCCCATATCTAAAAATGCAAATTTGTATTTTAAAGTTACTCACAATGTGTTTTCAACTATCTTTTTTTTATTATTTGAAATAATAATTTAATTATACAAGGTGTTCCATCTTCAGTGCCCCCCAAATTATTTCAAAACTACTACCTGCGTAGAAAAACAAATTACACTTCATCGAAAAAATCGCCAAAATAAAGTTCCTTTACAGTCACTGTAAAATTAAGGCACTTTCGATTTCACCAAAGATGAAGACAATTTTTTCTTGATTGGGATATTTAAAAAAAAATTAAGGAGATTATTGGTTTCCCATTACAACAACGCAAAAGTTAAAATAGGTTATTTATTAAAAAATTTATGACGATTTTACATCACCTTACAAATCTCGACTAGACTGGCGAGTTTTGTTTGGTGGTACGAGTCGAAGGCGAGTGGTAATTTCCAAATGGCAAAATAGGAAAAGACATCTGTTTAGAAAATCGCATTTCTTAATGTTTTTGGACATAAGTAATAATCTCGAATACTACACTGTCAGTATACGTAAAAACGATAAATTTTTCCTTTAATGGTAATCAAATAACACGGACAAGGAGTTCCAAGGATTGTTAAAAGGAAAATTTTCAAGTTATATTTACCATATTTATTTAAAAAAAATGTATTGTTGCATTAAGGAAATACATAGTAAAAAAAAGTCCAATAAAGGTGATCCCTTTAATAAAACAAAAATTGTTTTTAATTGCTGTGAAACTTGATATACTTACTACAATCATTTACATGATATCCTGATTTATACATATTGCCAATTCGTGCCTTTTTAACTTGATTTCAATCAGGCAGTAGTTTTGAAGTCATTTTGATGAATTATTTGAAATGAAACGAACTTTTTTTATACCTGTCAGTTTTTTTATACAAAAAATACGCATTTATATGCTAAGTTTTTGCTTCAAGGGTGGACAAATAAGGCAATTTTGGAGTAAAAATATTTAAACAAAGTCTATGTCAGTTAAAGATGTTCGATAAACTTAAATAAGATAATGAAGTACATTTTCACATAAAACTACGAATATACGATTAACTGAAACACATTATTGTCCCTACAACACCGAAAAATACTAAGACTTGTGTTTGAGAACGTAGTTGTTAAAATTTATCAATAGTGTTGTATTTTTCGGTATTGTGGGGATAATAAGGCATTTAAGTTAACCTTATATTCACAGTTCTATTCAAAAAATGGGATTTATTATCAAATAAAAAATCAAAGACTTTTTTTAGCTAAGATACCCTATATATTTTACAAATTCTTACTAGCTTTTTCCTAGGCTTTATCTCCATGGTTTATTTTTCGAATTCTGATGCGATGTTGATAATTTGATCAAATTTTTAATTTTTTTTAACAATTCACAAAAAAAAATTAAGATCTGTGTAGCAATATTTTATGGAAACATAGAGAAAGGTATGCACTTTGTTATGGTATCAATTAAATAAAACTTTACTTTATAGAGTATTTATAAAAAATTAAATTTACAATTTTCAAAAATCGATATTTCAGATTTTTCAACTGGAACACCCTATATTTTATTACTGCATTTTACTCTATTTTTGTTCTATTTCTTTCAATATGTCGGTGTGTTCCTTAAAAATAAAATAAGATGCAGTAATAAAATACAGGTGTTCTATTTAAAAAGAAGGATATTTGAAAAATGTTATGATTTATTTTATAAACACTCTGTATATTGAAAGCCAATTTTGTGTATACCAGAGTGCATATCTTTATTTATCTCCCCACAAAATATTGTAACTCAGGTTTTAAAAATAACCCTATTACGATTTTTTGTGAATTGCTAAAATATTTTAAGAAAATAGAAATAATTTGGCAACGTCGCATTGGAAATCGAATATTCACTATTATTATAAAGCTTCAGAAGTAAAGATATTAAGAAATAGTTTTGTTCTTTGTTTGAAAACGATTTTTTTTGGTGTTTTTTTTAATAAATATTTAGCCGGTTTTTTTTTTCCACTAACATCTCTATTCAGAAGGGGTCAATTAGAATGTATAAAAATATCTCGGATATTCTACCGAGTGGCTAGTGATGTTTGTGATTTTTTTTTGTCAAATTGGCAGCATATTGAAAATTTTATTATAGCATACCTGATGTCAAATTAGGTAGCCAGCCAAAATTGACAACTGTAAACTGACATACTCACACTGCTGCCAATTTAAAAATTTGCTTCAGTCATTAATAATAATCACTCGGTATTTGAAAAAAATAAGTTGTGTTTTACACTGTATAGTTGAAAATAATTTTAGTATATGATTTTCAACAAACTGTACAAATTTAGTTTTGGACTTCGAATTTCTGTCTACTACACAGTCGCAAAAAGTTCAAAAATGACTTGAATGAATAGAATAAGGGTGAAACGTTTGAGAGTCACTGTTACAATATGAACTTGGCCTACAAACACAGTCGTGAATAAACCTATTCAAGGTTTCCCTGTATCACAGTAAAACAATGCTATGGAGTCGTTCATCACTTCAGTATCAGTTAATCAAACTAAGACTTATCTGCCGATTTGTGCGAATGTTCTTAGTTTATAGCGGTTTCAGTCACGGAGTGTGTCGATATGCATCTGATACCAGTGACTCCCAACTTGTTTATTTGACAGTGATTCTCTCTGTGTTTTTAGATACTTATAAATGAAACAAAACGATAAATTTCGTTGTGGGTATTCTTTACTCTATAATCATTTTGATACAACTTTTAATACCACTCTCGAGTAATTAGATGATTAATAACTGAGAAGGTTTTTAAACTTATATATAGTAAGATAAACATGATATATGGCTGAAATTCATCAAAAAGTCTCTCAGTTCTCTAGCAGTGGTAACAAATTTCAGTTGAAAATTGCGATCTAGATCAGTCAAACTTTAAAACTTCCAACCGACTCCAACCACTCTGAATAATACCCCTCAAAAAAAAAAAAAAAGAAAAATGTCCTAGGTCGGGCTCGCTCTACTCTCGTACATTTTTCCCGCAACTAAACGACTCGAAACTTGAAATTTACTCCACTGAATGCTCTTCCGTGCTTGTAAATATTTATCAGGCAGTGTAACCATGTTTAATCTTTGATTTTACACAATTTGCACAGTACTGGGCTCTAGCAAGGAAGCCTCTACAACGATATGTAAATATCTCGGCCTAGTGGAAACGCGTGTTTGGCGGTAATGCCGAAACGCCGTTTGCTAAGCCGTCAATGGCTGATAATAATGTAAAACTCTTGTCGCAACAAGTTTGCATCCCGAAGGAGAACCGGGATATATGTTTGATGCAGCTCGTATTTATTGGTTCTGTAGATAAATCTCGTCAAATACAAGAGGAAAACGTTGTACAAATTTCCTGGTTCCTTCCATATGATTGGGTTTTATACGTTTCGGAATTTAGATGATTCGGAAGGTTAAAATGTCATTGCTGGAATTATTTTAGGAAGTCTGTGTCGATAAAAAACTCCGCCAACATTTTCTCAGGTGATTCCTGCGTCGATTATGTAAAACAGCAGGTTTATAGACTATTCGATATGGGTTCAGGGGCTTGAAAATTTTGCAGTTACGCGTGAATTGCTTGTAGTTTTTTAAAGACTGGCTAGTTTTACATTCTAAAATAACTACCGAATTAAAATTAAATAGTACAAATCACACTAAATATAAAAAAAGAATTGCACATTTGCTTATCAAACTATACCGATGTCATTTTTTTAGTAATGACGTCACTATCATTTTCTTTCTGATCGTTACCACCATTTTATTGTAATTGAATTTGAGTTTTGAAAATTAATTTAAAGATTGTTAAAATTAAATTACATCGTTCTTTCCTCAAATATATATTGTTCGCCTACTTTAAATAACGATGCAAGAATATAAAACCACGTAATTTATGGCTACTATATTCGATATCGCGGTGTATATCATGTGGGTGCACGCATTACCTGAATTGAAAATTATTGCTGACATTTAAGTCGAATGGCTGTAACCTACACAAGCTAGAAAATAGTAAAAATTACAGACATAACTTGCAGAAAAGTATCTTTATCACATCAAGAAAAAATTGTTTTAGTAGTAAAATGTGATTTAAATTCATATTCAACGGTATACATTAAGCTAATGAAGTCGACTTTATCGTTCAGAATTAATTATAAACATAAATTACCTACGATTTATTTGTTCTCAATGATAAATCTTGTTCTTCTGAAAATGTGTATTTGTATAGTTCTCGCTATAAAATAGTGAATTTTGATCTCTATTTTTTTTTTTGTTTGAAGACTTCCGTAAATCTTTTAGGATTATAATGAAAATTGACCAGTTCACTTCTAATAGCTTTACTTTCATATTCTTGCCAACTGATTAGAGTTATAGTACTAAAAATTACTAAAATCTTAATTCTTATAGTCATACTATTTAAGTACGTTATAATTGTGTAAGTTCTTTCTAGTTGATGAATTTTGTAGTGTTTATTTATGATTATAATCCCTTGTACACAAATAGATGGACCTGAAGTGGTTTAATCAATATTCACTATCTTACAACCGAAACTATAACAAATATTCGTAATTTCCATTTAAAAAGTGATTTTTTTTTCAAAAATGTTATAATGCTAAGAATATATAAGCACTTGGTCCTTACAATTACGCCGCAAGTCCCCAAATTCTAGCCTAATCTATTTTGAAAAGTACATATCACTATTTCAAAACAAAAACTATAAATTTAAGATGTGCATAAATTGCTTATTAAAAACTCAAAGTCCACCGAAATGACAAAAAAATGGTGACCGGAAAAAAGAAAATGGCGACGTTATTACATACAAATAAAAAATCATGTGGAGTTTTCAAAAAAAACAAAAATTTGTAACGAAACTATAATTAAATTTCGAAACGTATTAAACCCATTTAAATGTAGATTAACTCTTTAGTGATATTAGTTATTTTTTCTTCAAAGCAATATTTAGCAAGGTATATAATTTAGTCGGCTTTTAGTTATTACTCACAATTTGAATGATTTTAGTACATTCGAATAAATCACCTGCTTTTTTTAGTAATATTTTTTTTTATAGATTATTATTAAATTCACTTTTAAATCAATCTCACTTTCATATCACATTTAAATTTCAGTATTTGTGCCTGCGGCTAATTAATTACAACTGTGAGGTTATCAACCGGTAAAAGTATTGTTGAGTCTTATTTACATGAAGTAATGAACCTATCCCGAAACCACGTCGAATATTTTATTTAGCTCCATATTACATCATAATATTTTGCTAAAAATACGGTGACACTATCTTGTTGAAACTTAATCAGTGATCTTACAATTCAAGTGTGGTTGCATTCAATAATGATAGGGCTCATTACCGCATGCGAATAAACTCATGTGCGAATCGGTTCAGAGCAGATTGCAAGCCATCGAGTGTACTAAGTCTGTATAATTTATTTAAATATGACGAACAATGGCGAATTTCCCAAGGGCATACACGTTGTGCCCCGTGAGACGTCCGCCTCTGACTTTTATGTTTGCTTATTAACCACTTCTCTTCTCTTACTAGTGTATTTTTCAGATCTGGGAACCCCTTTCTTCCCGGGTGGTCCAGAACTGTGGCATCATCCGTTGGCTTATTCAGCAGCTGCGGAATTACCGGGAGCAGCCTTGCAACATGCAACACTCGTACATCCCGCACTGCATCCACAGGTCCCCGTACGTTCCTATCTTTGACTATCTACAGACAAAACTCTGGACTCTCAGCTGCAACAAGCTGGCGCCCCAGTCCATCACCACGTTAGTTCAATTCTACTTATTTGATTGAAAGCAGATTCATGTATGCAGGCAGCAAAGAAACAAACACCGCTGCAATACCTATCCTTGATTCTTTGCTGCCGTGCGACTATCTCTATAATGCTTGCTTAGCTGCTATCTAACGTTTTTGTGAATCTGACTTTGTAATTCAGCTAAATTAGGTCAGAAATTAGCTTTTGGCGTAGTCGGTAGGATGTGTTTTTCTGTAGCGTAATTTGACCTAGTTTATCTGGATTTTTGTTTAGCGTTGTGTACTTGTTCTGCGTGATGCGTGTTTCCTTGTCATGTGAATCTGATAGTCTGGAATTTGGTCTTGAATACCGGCTCTTGCTACAAAGCGTACTAATGTGGTTTTGTTTGCAGCCTCCAATGTCTTTGCCGCATCCTACTGCTCTAACTTCAGTACATGCAGCATCTTTGCCACATTTTCTACCAAGTCCTGCCTTGGCTTCTCCCGTGGGGTCATCGTCCTCACAACCTGGTTTGGGAGTAAGCAATCCGCCTTGCTCTACACTCTTCGTCGCAAATTTGGGCCAATTTGTGTCCGAACACGAGTTGAAGGAAATATTCGCCAGGTTTGTTAACACCAAACTCATTAACATTACTAAGGGATAGGGCAATTACAAAAATAAAGCAATCAGAGAAAAGAGCAACCATGTTAATATATAGTGCAAGTTATAGTGAGTGTGATGCGAAGGAGTTAGTAACATTGAATTTTCTGTTAAGTGGACTCACTTATTCGAATTCCGCAAATCAGTAAGGGAGGAGCTGTTGGCGCAGAAATCGTAGTAAAGCACTTTGTAAGTATAGATTTAGCGCCAAGGCCTCTCACCAGAGCATCTTTTAAGCAACACCGACTTTCTTGTTTCCGCTAAGTCTGCACACGGGCGATCATTTTACTCTCTTAACAAAATTTGATTTGACCCTATCTCAGAACTCCTTCATTTTTGATATCTTAGCATACTCTTGAGTCAAAATTTTCATATTTACAACAACTAGGGCTTTTTGGTGCAGTTAGTTAGTTAAGTGTTGTATTTGGTTAACTATCAAAGCTATCAAAATATCATTGCAAAAATACAAATATCACGTTTTTTTGGAAGGGTAATTCGTTCCATCTTTGGAAATCGTCTGCAGTAACAAAATAACCATGACCAAAATTTTATACCGGATTTCTTTGCCAGTTTTCCAGTCGGTTCTTTATATCTTTTTTTTAAAGCTCGTTTAAATATATAATTGATATTAAGTACATATATAACAAAATTTATAGGTCTCTTAGATATCGTTAGCAAATCACGAAAATTTAAGATTACATGCGCCACACCGCTGCTGCGACTGCAGCTGTGTGAATAAAAAGTATCAAAACATCCACTGGAGACTGGCTTTGGTTTAAAAAAGAGATTATACTTATAATGAAAGGATCTGAAGTTGAGGGCATGCTTGAACGTCAAAAATAATTTTTTACCTTTACAAAAGCGTAGGTTCCAGGCATGAGTGTACTCCACATTTCAACATCTCATGTTTTCCGTACAAAGAATATAATCAGAATAATTGCGACGTCGAACATAGCGGTAACTCTAATCGCTCATTTAAATTTTATTTTTCCTTCATCATACATTGTAGGTCGTTTTTTGCGCGTGCCCACGCTAGCCTCTAACGACCCAGCGTATTATATAAAGAAAACAATCGTTATCAAATAAAACAGAAAAATAACCAAGCAATAAATTAACTTTTAATGAGTCATCAATTTGATGCATTGTGTTACGGAACACTGCTTAAGCCTCTAGATATGTCTATTACTTTAACGATCCATTAGCACTGAAACCGTTCGCCGTTCTCATTGTTACCCCTTTTTTCGCTGTTGTCGGCCTTCTTAAAAGATGCTCTGCCTCTGACGGTGACGACTTTAGTGGATGTTGTTCTTCTTCACTATATCTTGCACTGTAGCCCCCGTCTCATTAAATGTCATCTGAGAACTCCTCAGCAGTAGAAAAGAGTTAGTGAAAATCGCGACGCGAGCACCTTCGTCTCCACCTCCCCCGTTTTGGTGCCGCATGTGTAATCAATGTTCTGTTGGTTTTCTTTTTTACTAACGTGGTGAGGGTCTGCTCTATCTAACGCACACTCTGAATGTGTACTACCCTCGCACTTCCTGTAGTTAGCAGTAGTGCCCCGACACTGAGCAGCACTTGTGGTGTTCTTGTTGCACAGCTTCCCTGGCTTCTGTCGCCTGCGCATGCACAACAAGGGTGGATCCCCGGTGGCCTTCATGGAATACCAGGATGTGCGTTGCGCCGCACAGGTCATGGCAGCACTGCAAGGTTCCTTCCTACTGTCCTCCGATCGCGGCCCCATACGTATCGAATACGCCAAAAGCAAAATGGCTGCAGAGGTCGGTTTACTTGCCTTTGCCTTAGATTACAGTCGTTTATCGCGTCTTGTCATTAGATTTCATTAGCACTCTCTACTAATACTTTGCTGTTCTCGCGGGACGAGGTAACACTCACACGCGCGAAGGGCCAGAGGTGGACCGAGTACCAGGAACGCTGAATTGATACTAGGTCAACGCGTTTCGACAACACATCATCAAGACTAATTGAAAACGCTGCAGTATTGTCAAATTTGCTCATCACTTAAAAAATAGTTAGTAATGGGTGGTTCAAAATTTGCTGCCAGTTCAAGTGGGCAACGCGTCCTAGAGCTAGATCTAGGTATATACTCTTTTTTGGGTTTACCAATAGTAACTTCCAAATTTCATAAAGTTTGCCCTATATTAGGTTCAGGGGTATTTGGGGATGTGTGCTTACAGGTTTCTGATTCGATGGATTCACTTATGGAGAAAAAATCTAAAAGTCTCCTAGGTTTCAGGATGCTTGAGGTAAGGGTTTTTCAATTCAGATGAAAAATTGCAAGTTTTTAGCTCTAAATTTCGCCAAAAAGGGTTAATAAGGACTGAATATGTCCATAGCCTATATTTCTTTCGTAAATTCGGTAGATCTAGGTATTCCTGAAGCACAGGGGGAGATCGAGACGAATATACTTTTGAACTGAGCAAGAAGACATTTGTTAAAAAATAACTATTTATTTATAAGCATAAGTTAAAGCTGTTTCAAAGTCTTGATACGACTTAATTTCAGTTTCAGTTGGAAAAATGAGTATGTCATTGGAAGCTACAGGATTGATAATTTTAATTTAGTTAGATTTTGCCAGTTGTCTTGATGGGGCTCGAATCGGGTCCAAAACGCGTTGACCTAGTAACAATTTGTGTACGTTTAAAGTACTTTAGCCATGAATAGGGTAATATTTGGTTTGAGGTGGCACAGCGTCGGTGCGTGTTGCTTCTTTCCGTGCCTGTCACCGACTTCTCGATAATCTATGGTTAATGCCTTCGTGTATGTTCGCAGGGAACAAAAGGAGAAGAAAATGGACAATCTTAATTCGTACATGCCGCTGAGTACTTGACAGAGAGCGATGGTCGTGGCTGGACACTGCTAGAGTGGTCTTGGCCAAAGTAAAATCGCTGTTCAAAGCAAAGCTTACCTATCTCTGTTAACTGTTGTAGTTGTACTGTTAGATTTGCAGGACAGTATTTACGTGATAAGTACAGGTAAACTGCATCAAGTCGTTTGATCAGATTGCTTAATAACTTCATTTCATTGAGAATGATAAAAATATGAAGATAAGCTAAACCAAAGGTGCCCTAAAAGTTAAGTTTTAGATTTATTATTAAATTATTAGAGTGCGTCGTGAAGTGTGTCCCACGAGGGCGCCCAGCGTGCACTAACAGTATTGTTTTGTCGAGCTTTCTTTAGATAATTACATAGTGGTATTGATATAAGATAGAGTCTTATGGTGAAAATTGATTTAATATATTTTTGTTTTGTTTTATCATAGCAATAAACCAATGACGAAATAAGCGCACTTGACATGTTTGGTGTGTAACGCTACAAAAAGATTTTTCAAAATATAAACATATCATAAAAATGGCTTTGCTACACCAGTCATGACAGTGAGTTACTTTAGAGAATTATGTCCTGTATTAATAATCTTTAATTCGATACAATTTGCCCAATTTTTAATACTTAACGGTATTTATCAGAGAGTCGTAGAGAGCTCTGTTGTTTTTTCAGAATATTACTTTAACAACTTTATATTATAGATGAGCTTTTGCTTAAATTATAGAAGTAATAGAATATGATGCATTTGTTATCTTGCAATCAAAGAATGCATGCAGTTATACAGGAATAGTAAATTTTATAGTTTTCAATTACGGTATGTATTATATAGGTTTTAAGTTTAGCATTGGTTTTTATTGTACCTTGAATATTAACACGATGTACCTATATTACCATCGTGTGCACAAAGTCCGTACGGAGCACCATTTAGACAGCCGAAAAGTAGCACAATCATGTCGTTCCAGTCAATTATTATGAAATTCTAACCTAAACGAATCAATTAGAACAATTGTTAATAAATGTTGTAAAATTAATAAAGTGCTAATATGGGTACATCAGTGTTGGATAACCAAAGTTTAATTTAGGTGGCCCTTATGATAATATATTTATTTAAGACAAGTTGTAGGTTATATAAGATATTGTTTTACTAGTGTTGTAATGTATTATTTTTATATAATTTTATAGTTTTCTACAACCTTACTAATCACTGAGATAACAGTCGAAAGTGTATAATGTTGAAAACATTGGTAATTCTCTATTATCTAGATTATATTCATATAGTGTCGTAGTGCTTTTTGTGTGACGTTTATGTGATATATCTATTACTATCATTATAAGTGTATTTAGGCCGGGGATCCCCCGGCACTTAAGGAGCGTCCAAGATGCGGCATCATCTCGAAGCAACAAGGAAAGAAAGTGAGTCAATTAACATTGCATCAGAGACGCGTGTCAATCTAGAGGCAGATGATCCGCATTCTTGGAGGCGAATTGCAGATAGAAGCGGACCACCTGTGGCCTTTGCACTCGCATAGGTTGTATGTGACGGGTGCGAGGGACTCGGGCGGCTGTTCTGCGTATTGTTTCCGTCCAATGCATGTCGTACGACATGTCGCAGCTCAATGAGCGTCGGTAGGGTGGGTGCGGATCAGGGTGATCAGGCTGGGCAGCCAGCTATCTTTGGGACTATAGAAAACATATCAGCTTAATTAATTGATAAAATTATAAATACCTGTTATATGCAATCCGACCTTTAAATGTCGTCTTGTAACTGTGTTTTTTAACTGCAGAGTTCTGTGTTTTAAATTATATGTTCTTGAAATTGTGGAGTTTAGTCAGTTCCACGACGGCGTCGGCCGTTTCTTCGCCGAGGAAACGGACGTCGGCGGACGGAACCAAATTTTGTGATAAAACTTATCAACGGTAATATAAACTAGCCACAATCGCCTTCTCTGCTTTAGGTCATAGGTTAATAAACACCACTTCTTAAACATATCATGATCTGTGCCCCTTGTCAAGTGACATCTTAAATTTTTAGCAATTAATAAGGTAATAAAAGAAGATTTGATAATATTTAACAAATGAATTTACAAAGTAATATTATATAAGGAAAAATCGATTCTTTTAACAGCTGATCTACACTACATTTTAAGAACGACAACCATCGGTGTAGTTTTTAAGTCTGTAAAAGCAGCTGCTGCTGTGTAGCATGTACTTTGTACCCAGCAAGCAATCGGTGGGGGCGCCACAGTCCCTATACCTAGCCTTAGTAGTCCTGTCAATCGACCGGGGAATGCATATCTTTATTGTAATATTGAATCAAGTAGGCGTCGTAAACTTAGTTTAATGTAAACATGTGTTGAAATTGTTGGTCTAGAATTATAAGTACAACCGAGCAACATAATGGGTACTGACCAGCTAGGTCAGTTGTTGTTGATACTAGTCAGATATTTGTATAACCCACCCCACCATCTTGCCCCTCTTTTTCAGATGAAAGCATTCCATACAAAGATTGTATTACCTGACAACGTACTTAGCTATAAATTGTATAGGGTCCAAAAGATGGGAAATAAATATGTATTATAAAAATTAACAACGGTGTTTTTCTATTACCTACCCCTTTACCCACATTTATCATCACATTCAATACCTACATACCACAATCTGTAACAGAAAACAGACAAACTACAAAAGAGACAAAGAGAAACTAAGCATCTAACATTAATTATCAAAATGCCATCAACTACAATTTCTGACAGTTCTTTACTAGTGACGACTGAAAAAAGCAGAAGCAAAAGTTATAAATGTAAGTGGTGCAAGGAAAAAAAAAAGTCTGTCGAATTAAAGAATATTCTACTACAAATATGAATAGTTCTAACAAGTTCTAAAAGAAATTCTACACTCCTTGCAAATTGACTAGTTAGAATTTGTGATTATAATACACCCATGGATCTTTTTTAACACAAATAATATATCGCTAGAACTAGGGAACCCTCCTCAGTATACATTATAAAGTATTCCTTCGTCACTTGTTATCTGTTAAATAACAGCTAGTGGATAAATGTCTACCTACACAAGGATTTATCTTTCTCAAAATATGAATATAAAGAACATACATTTTTTAGTTTTTGTAGCACTGCTATCTACATAAACTTAATTAAAATCGTCTTTAGAAAGTAAAGGTGGTAACGGACCAGTATCCACACTCTCCGTGGGTTTAATCGTTGGTGAGGTGCACGAAGACATTAAAACTACTCGTAACATAAAAAAGAAACTGGATGTTTATTCAAAAACCATCAGTCGGCAGAAAGAAGAGGATAAGCAATTGGAGGAATTGTAAGAAGTAGATGAAACAAAAAACAGAACGGAACAGTGACTTACTTATTAACAAAACTGCTTTAACAGCTGTAAAATACAAATACCGGGCGACTATTAATAATAATTGAAGCAAATTTTTGTGTTGGCATTCTGAAGTATTGGTATCCGTGTTAATTTAATAGGTCAATTCACAGTTGCCACAAATATCACTTTACAATCAGGTGTGCCATCATAAAATTTTAAACAAGATGCCAACCTGACAATAAAATCACAAATATTTATTAATAATCACTCGGTATCTACTTATCAGATGTTTTATTTACAATAACTAAATTGGAATTTCACCTTTTCCAAGAGCCCAAGGAATATCACAGAAACAGGAGCAAGATAAGAAAAGTAGTCTTTGATCAGTTTCTGTCATAAGAATGTATTGTAACGTCCATGAACAATTCTGCAGTAGTAATTGGGTAATTTGTACTGAGTTTTGTATTTCCTATTTGAAAAATACAATATGCTAGTCTGGTCTTTTCTTTCTCGAGGTTATAACGTACCTTCGATTGAATGTATGATTACAACAAAATGGCGACAAATATCTATTAAATGACTTTAGGTAATAGAGAAATTCATGAATTCAAACAATCTAATGCAACTTATGGTGATAACCCAAACTTCCCGCCTTTAATTGACCTTGAAAAAGTTTGAAAGGCCCGCGAAAAATTCAAAATTTAGCCTTGGCTGTGATCGTCTAACAAAAGGAAACCTACGTTGTGTTTTTTTTTACATGGCGGAAAGACGTTCTTTCATACAAGTGAGCATACACTACGTGCGAGTCGAGACCGCAATAAATAATAGACAAAATTGTTTTGGAGGGGCTAAAATGGCACCCCTCTCAGGAGGAAAGAAGCTGCGAGGATTCACTCCTCAGCCCCAAAAACCCCCTATCGTATATTCACGGACATATTACATTTCAAACGAAACAACTTAAAAATATGAAAGAAAAGACACTCGCGAATTGACAGACATACACATATGAAAAACGAACAAACGCAAAATCCTATACATCTGTTTGGAATCAATGCAAATATTTGAAAATCACAAATTGAATAAAACAAAGCAAAATCTGAATTAAAGTAACTGGATGCAAATACACAAGTTATTACGGGCGACTGACGGCAGTTAACAGAAGCACAACAAAAGTACCCCTGGGGTGTTCTAGCACAAGCGGAGTTTGGGGCTACCGGTTCGGGCTGGTCTCCCCCGCGACGGTGATTCTATCTATCGGCAAGCCTACCGCCCAGCACCCCTCTATCGAACGGAGAGACGTACCGCGCTAACCAGGCCGTTTCGGTCGAAAAATGTGGGATGGAATGTCAAAGTTATAAATAAGCTGACAGCTTCACGTCGTCCAGACCATTTCCACTGACTATACAAAGCCTGCACTCCTTGTGCAGATAGTCCGGCAAATACCGCTAAGTGTTAAAGTTTCAAAAGAGCAATAAACAACATTTAAATTCGCCATACTATCTTGTGAAATTTTAAACAACAAATAATTCTTATGTGAAATTAAAAGTGGACACAAAATAATTTATACGATGGAAACATTCATCAACAAAATATTTACAAAACAAAACTAGCAAAGATTTATAAAAACAAAAGATCTGGAGTGAAATAAACTTGTGCAAATAAAATATTATGTGAGGTTAAAATTGCATTTATACAACAAAGAAAATTACTGAAGTTAAAATTGTAAGATTAGAGAAATATTGTATGAGGTGAAAAATTGCAAAGTTAACAAAATTTACATGAGATTAATACTTGCCACACTTTATCAACGATTCAAACAAAGAGTTTACATTAGGTTAAATTATGTCATAATCCAAGTGATACTTTGAGAGTTTAGCATACCGCGAACTGGTTACCCCAACAAAACACGTAATAAACAGACACAAATATATCCAATCATCGGTGCGAGGAAAAAGGGTCTCGGTGATATAAATTTTATAGTTGCGAGGAATTGCCTCGATGATGTATATTTTAGCGGTGAGAGGAATAAGCCTCGTTGATGTTAAATTGTTTTTGCACTAGCTGACGATTCAGAAAACTAACTTGATTGGTGAATTCACAAACAATAAAACAAATTTACAGCACGTGTTTCGCGTTGAACAGACATCCGTACTTTTTCGATTAAAAGGCAGCGAGAATTAGCGCGCGAGTTGGGGAAAACTGAGTGACGTCGGTTACGATTGATTGTCGTTAAACAAAGGCCTCTTCCCTTTTATTAACTACCAAATCAACTAAATTAACCAAAACTACCTTACCACGTGATTACACTCACACAAACACATTCAGACTGACGCTACGCCATGTCGCTTCAGTCTCTACCAAGCCGCCCCCTTTCTCTGCCAATCCGCCCTCTAACTAAAACATGCAGAACTACCTTGGGCCCTGGGGCACTACATGCATATTTGGTTGCCTATGTTTAACGATTTTTTTTTGTGATTGCATTTTTTTTTTCAAATTCAAATGATTCAAATGTGATTTCGCGCCGCTGTTAATTAATTTCAGCGCGAAAATTTTGATTTAAATTCGGTCACCACATTATTCACAAAAATGAGAACAGTTCTGTTTATATTCATTTTAGATGAAGGCTTCAGATTTATGATATAAAAATGTTTAAAAATTACTCCCCAACAATATTTCTACTCGAAAAATCAGCGTGTATGTGAAAGTATAGAAGTACCTTACTTACCTATTATTGAAAATAAATTAAACCAAATTTTGAATTTATTGATAGTCACATTTACCACTATTTTCAACTTATAATCCTCTGGTAAAGCTGGCGGTGCAAGGCTGTTACATAATTGACCGTATCATCCACTTCTTCGCAGATTACCAGACCAACCGGTAAATGCACTCCACAAGGAAGTAGGTAGTAAGAAGATTTGTATGAGACAAACTTGTGCTAAAATCATCTTACTAACATTGCCGCATAGAAGCGATGAATTTCAACTGGTTCATTTTTATTGTTGATTAAAAAGAAAGATGCTGAGTTAAGAACAAATCAGAAAATGTCCACGTTGACGTCCCATTTATACAATAAATTAATTAAAAGCACAAGCAAACAAAACGTCTTTAAATAACAAAGAATATACAGAATTAACACAAACTATGCATTAATTTAAGTTAATGACTAAATCAAAAGTAAATTCATCGAGCTTTCACATTGAACCGACCCCCATTACATTTAAGCACACGTGAAGTAAACCCAACAGACGAATATCAAATGCAGTGTTTGGTGGCATTTCGTGTTGTGGAAATATCTCAGCAATGAAATCTTTAAATGCAGCCGTCGAATGGTGTTATTATACCATATAAATAGACTATTAGAAATCTCTGGTGAAAAGTTATGGGGTGGGGATAACATTACTGTCGTTGAATCACCTTAGAATCATGAACAGTTAAAAATCTTAACATGAACTGTGAATTAATAAACAATAAAAAAGCACTTGTTGATGCGGACTGTGGTGTCCAGTGGCTTTCTTTGAAATTACAAACTAAATTTAACCTATTCTTATTTTCAACACGTGTTTACACTAGCACTCTTGCAGTGATTAGAACAATTACTTTTAAAACGTATGCATTACTTTAGCAATTACTTTTTGCACTTTGAAAAATTTGATGAAGACACAATTTTAAATATTTGTTGTATGGATCCAAAGGGTCAAGAAAAAACGTGGTAGAATGAAAAAGGCATTTGTTACATATTCACATCAGTAAATAAAGAAAAAACAAATAAATACTTCACGCAAGAGGACTATATTAATCATTTAAATTCAATAATAACTGACATTCAAAATTTTCGTCAGTTAAGGCATGACGTTCTATCTCAAAAACATCCGCGCCGATGATGATTCTGTTCGACAAAACACACTTGGAGCATACAGAATCGTCTCAGATTGCTAAAAGGAGACGTTTGGGTTAGTTTTTCACATTCAGGCGTTTGTAGATTCAAAAAAATTGTTAAAATTCTTCAGAAACGTCACTTTTAAAGCGTTTTCTTGTGGTTTAAGCCAATCACACACCCTACGAGCTCGGAAAGAGCACCGAAACCATCAAATTTTAGATAGACATCGGATTTTTGTCGATTTATGTTAAGTCTGAACTATATTTCGACATTTTTTGATGATTCTGTTCGACAAAACACACTTAGAGCATACAGAATCGTCTCAGATTGCCAAAAGGAGACGTTTGGGTTAGTTTTTCATTCCACTGCGGCGCTAGATGGAATTGTTGTGGGGCAATATGTTACATATTTTACCAAAAATTGAAGAGCCGATGCTTTTGCGCCTAATTTTATTCCACTCTAGCTACAAATAAAAGTTCGATACCAACTGCAACAACTTTTAAACAAAAATTTGCATTGGTGGGAGATTTCAAAATATCTTATTGGCTAGGTGTAAATGTATCGCAAATCGTTTAATCTTTAATAAAAAGGGGATTTAAGACAATGTAAACTTAAAAGTCTACATTTATAAATTTACATTTACATTGAATTATAATTACCTTTTACTTGGCGTTGTAACTTATAGACATACTTTAGAAAACCTTAGAGGGTGGACACCCTGACAAAATTTCGATCAGAAAAGTGCCTAAAGTTTGTTTGAGCACAAATTTTAAATATTCTGCGTCTGTTTACTCAATTATTTATTAAGATATTTTATTTCTGTAAAGCACAATGGATTTTTTTAACACAATTTCTACTATATAATGTACCTTTTTGAAAATTTAAAATTGATCCATAAACAGATATCTCATACTCATCACCCTTAAAATAATGAAGAGCTTATGTATATTATAGTTGCCTGCTTTCTTAACAAATTCTGTGTTAAATTGGTTTTGGATTTTAACTCTCTAATACTGGGTTAATATTCTCTTTGTGGGGACGAACAAGGACCATGGAACCAGGTATAATAATCCCAGAAGGTCAGGTAAACGATTCGTAGAGAAAAACAAAACAATATTTTTGAGTACCTACTTATTTGGGTTAAAAGTAATTGTAAAGGGACTGAATTACCCAAAAAAGTGATTCGTTACAATTGCTCATTGCTTGGAAAGGAATTGAATTACGGTAATGAATTACTTCCAAGCACTGCTTATTGTTACCAGCTAAAGTATATGTATCTTATTCTTATACAAAAAATGAGTCCTGCAAGTGTTTGTCATGTTTAATGAATTAAAAATAAGAGCCTTAGCCAGATGGTGGATTGGCGATCTGTACATTTTTAGAACATATATACTATTTTAATCCAAAATAAACAACTACAAGACTTTGATCCAAAATAAATTATAACTCAAACAGCACGAGATCCAGAGAAAAAAGTCATAAGCTTTAAACTACGGCGATGTGTAGGCATTAAGTTCAGTATACAGCAGGGGCGGCTGGTCAGGGGCGGCAGGGTCGGCCACGCCGTACCAGTCATTTTAAAATACTTAGTAAGCGTTGAAATTAGAAAATAAAAAAAGAAATAAAGTTTGAATGTACGTTAGGATAGATCATATATATTAAAAATATATTTTATTATATTGTAGGTACAAAATAAAGCATTTGTTGCTAATTTTAAATGCTGATAAACACGCTTTGCCGGCGAGATTTCGGCAAGCCGTACCCAGGAATGCATTATGCTCGATGTTTCGACTTCGTAGCAGCTTACGGTTTCATCGTTCTCTTTGTCTAGTACACTGTAGTAGACAAAGACCTGGCGGAACGTATGTTGTGCCAGGTCCGGCGAAATCCTCCTTCGCCGTACCCAGCAACGCGAATTTAGTTTTTAAAACGCTTAATATTTAAGATAGCTAACCAAATTACAAAACAATAACGGCTTCGATGTTCTTCAGTGCATACTATTTTTTTTTTAAATAATAATTGTCGATTTAATACATTTTTCTGTGTATGAATAATAAACGAAAAAAATTACATTAAATTATCTAAAATTTTATTTTTCGTACATAACTTAGCTACACCATAAATGCGCTTTTTCTGTATTTTTAGCATCTAAGCGTTTTCAGATATTTCAGAAACGAATTTAAAGTTTTAAATCATTTTAATTTTTCAATTATTCAATTAATTTATTTGACAATTTGTCATATACATTAAAAATAAATAAATGTAAATGAAGATAGTTAACAGTTGGTACTTTTATTATTACTTTTTTTATATTTTTTAACTGCATGTCATTATTTAATTATTATTATTTAATTGTGGATGTCCGGGGTCGGCAAGCCGTATAGCCGCCGGTCGACGCGGAACTCAGTAAAAATAATGTTTTCGGTGGTTCTCAATTAATGATAAAGCAGAACAAGTAGAATTAAGGATTAATAGTATTTGGAATCAAACTGACATTGTCAATTTCCTATAAAAAATTATTTTAACAGGTCGAAACATTTGAGATGTTTTGTACATCCTGGCACGTAAAATGTCAGTGGTTAATGAGTAGCAGCCATACATTACGAAAATATATAACACCAAGGTGTAGACTCAAAATATTTGGCCGACCCGAAATTTTGACCCACCAGCCGCCACTGGTATACAGATACATTTTATGTCAATATTTGTTTTATTTTGAATATTGCATGGTGTCATGGGTATTTTTGAATTCTCCAGTTTTATTGTTGGTAACTATTTGTAAAAATAAATTTCGATAATTTTGATGACGGTTGAGTGGTTTGTACTTTAAGTGGCCGCAGTATCATTTTTGTTACAATTTTGTTCTTTTATTTTTGACTAAATACCTAACCTGTAAACTTGCCGTTTAAATTTGTTAACTATTACATAAAGGAAATTTCAAGTCAAAGAAAACCCAACTCTAAGTAGTAAATTGAGACACCTGAACTTGAAAATAATAATAAACCCTATATTTGAGAACTTCTGAAAATAATATTTTATGTAATGCTAAAGTTCCTATATTTTCAAAAAACAATTAGTTACTACTAACTTTTCAAGTATTTTATTTATCCAAAAGCAAGTGTAGGTGTAATTTTACACGTTTTAAAAAAATTCTTGTGGTAAGTTGTGTGTACAAAACTAAGGTATATTTGCAAGATAATCTTTAACATGAGAAGGTTCCAATCTTCTAAATCCTGACTCATCACAAATCCCAACCTCAATATTGTCCGCCGTCATTTGCCCCTCAAAACTCTCCTTTAGCGTTAAAATAGCAGTGTGAACGGCATCATCTAATTCTAAATCTTCACTGTATCTATAATAAAATAACATAAGACAGTTTAAAATTTGCTCACACTCATTTGTACCTTTTTTCCAGAAAAGTCTTCCCATTTATGTAATTCTTGCCCATGGCAGTAGCCTTCCATGCAAAGTAAGCCCCTGAAGGATCACACTGAAACAAGTACGGTCTGCCACTATCCCACCCACAGATCAACAGTGACACTCCAAATGGTCGAACACCTCCAGACTGTGTGTACTCTTGCATTACAGCAGCTACTCGTTGCACAAGTTGTACTGTTGGTATAGGTTCACGATAAGTAAGAAAATACTTCTGGGCCATTTTCCTTGCTTGCTTGACCAGCAGCCGATAATCCGGACCCATCCCCGAGTAGATCATGCCAATGTGTTTCGTCACCATTTCCACTTTATGAACACTGTGTTCATCGTATAAGATAGATTTGTGTTTGTTCTCAGTAGCAATCACAACACCATTAGATGCTGCAAAATGTCACTATGATTGGAGGTATTTTGAGGTGTTGGATTTTACTACCTTTAATACCCACTGAAGGTGCTCCAGCGGCCACTGCAGCTAAAGCGTATTCAATTTGCACCAATTTCCCAGACGGGCTGTAAAGTAAGGTTATGGTGAAGTAAAACGAGTAAAGTCATCAAATAATGAAATGTTTTGAATGAGATATTACTGAAGCTCTCATATATTAATCAAAATGCGTCTAATTACCTGAAAGTTGTTAAAGAAAAACTATACCGCTCTGATGCCATGATTACTTGCAAAACAAATTGTTGTTTATGTTGGGTAACCTGGTTGTCACTGAATCTGGCAAATCATTTCCTAGGGACTTTTTTCTCATAATGATGTAACAGCCATCTGGTGGACGACTTTAAAAGTTCTCTTATCAAGAAAGCTGCAATATTTATGTAACAGCGAGACGTTGCGTAGATGTCACTATAAGATTAATTCTCAAGAAAATGACAAATAATGCAGAGATAATATTGGTAACATTTTTGTGTCGTCAAGATGGCACTTCTTGCGTATTTTTGTTTATGTGTCATTAGTGCCATACTCGTCATAAGAAAGTTACTGTTTTTGTTTTTACTTTGTAGCAAATTTCTTAAATACATAGATTTTTAAAAACATAAATGCAGCGTATGATAATTGTGGTATGACTAATTATTATCAGATGAGCAAAAATAAGAAGATTAAAGAAATTCTTTTGTACAATGCCAAGTTAATTTAATGAATAGGCAACCAATAATTCAGCTCCAAATTAGATTTGATACTTATCATAATGAATCGGCAGATTCTTGTCAAAATTATAATCACCTTGCATTCAGTTACTACATTTAATTAGCGACACGCCCAACTAATCAATATAAACCATTATTAAGTCTGCAACGTCGTTTCATTTTGTCACGAATCTCATCAATGCATATCATTACTTTTACTCTTGGTACTAGCCTGATGGAAATCTTGCCTGAATGCAGGTGCTTCCGGTCAGCGGTAGGTTAACAACTAACGATAAAGTTAGTCGTTAGCGTTTCAGTTTACAACGTGGCGATGATATAAGACAAGATAATTCCAACAAGATGAAAATACAAGCAGGAAACGGTCCATTTTAGGATCGCATTAAATCAACAAAGTAACTCACGTTAAAAATGCAGATTTTATAGCCCTTTCCCCACACATACTGCTTTAGCCTTATACGTAGAAATGTACCTGACGCGGCTCTAAGTTCAAGTAATAAAAAGAAACTGCTAGTGTTATAATACGACTGTGGATTCACATGTTATATTTAGTTGTTTACGTGACAAGAGCAGAAAGTGGTATATTATTGCTCGAGTAGAGCTCTACAAGACTAGTAAAAGTACTTTTCAGATGTGTTAGATGCAACAATGTTTTTGCCACCGCCCCAAAGTGAAGCAGCATTTCATACGTACATAAGTATATAAACTCGTAGAGTGGAAATACTTTACTAATAAAACGTCGCAGTAGATGTAAAGCTTCCGGACGGGTCCACTTGTAAATTTAAGGGAAGGAAACTGTACTGTTAATTGTTTTTGTCCATCATCACACTGTAGTAAATAAAATGTTAGCCCAAACGTCTGGTTATTCTTGTTATTGATCTTCAATTAAAAATAAGCACGATTTGCTTTTTCAAATTAAATGAGTAAATGAGTGTTTTCCGTTCTCAATTACAGTTAGAAATAGCTAGCTTTGTGGATGAACACAGAAAAATGTAATATTAATGAATGTAGATATATTGTAAAAACATCCGCTTAAAAAAAAGTAAAAAATATTTACTAACATGTCGGTACGTTTACACAACTTAATCCGAAACTAACTGTAGGTAGTAGTTATAATATTTAGGATTACGTCATCGCTTTCTTGGGGAGGTAAACATAATTAATTTGGACATTATGATAACAGTGGCAGGGTGCACTAGTTTTTTGAAAGAGTATATATATTTTCATAAACAAAAAGCAAATTAATGTTTTCTCCGTTAGGTGAGTTTTAATTGAAGCCCCAAATATCATTCCACTGTTATTATACACAACATAAAATTTCTAAACGAACACACAAATTTCCGATTTGATTAACGGACTTACCCGACTGTATTATTGTAGGATATTTTAATTTACATCGAGTTCTACATCTGTAACTGACGCGTCCACTTAACCGCAAGAGTTAATTCGCGTTACGAAATTCTAGACACGAATAATTAATTGTTATTTTAAAATTTACAATTGTTCTGACGTTATACTACGACATTCCAACTTTAAACCAACATGCTCTACTTACATAATAAAAGTTTAAATTACATTACCGAAGTTAAAATTATTTCAGAATACATCAGTAAATGGAAAAGCAATTTGAAATGGGATACCACATTAATCGTTGTAAATAGAAAACTGCGTTATGCAGACCCGGCAATTTTTCCCAGAAAAAGTGCGAGAAAAGCGGCGCGAAAAACGCTTCAGAAGTGTAAGCCGTTGTTAAAGTTTAATTTTTTAATTCCTTTTAATTAGTGTTATGATCGCAGCTCAAGAAGATTTGTAGAACGTTCCGGCAGTGGCACGACTCTTCATTTAGCCCTCATTTCCGCACGTCTCATTTTTTATTTATCGACTTCTGGGGAAAATCTTATTCCTCATGTTCTCATAACGTCTGCCGTAAACTTTCTTATTTAGTTGATCGCCAAAATTTACAAAATTATGCCCTGTTTTGATAAACGAAACTCAACAGTAAAATGAAATTCCTCGCTCTGGCAGCACGTTAAACCGCATTTAAAATTTAAACGCGTCCAATTAAGTCGAGCAAATAACTTTATTGGCCAGGAATTGCGAAAATTCGCGACGTTATGGAATTCGGAATTCTCGGTGTTGTTATAACAATGGCGCAGCAACGTGATTCTTGGCGTTTGCCTTCGCTCCGATGGAAATTAATGTTTGTATTAATTCGGGTGCGATTATATATGATCTGACACCGATGGTGAGGGCACACACAATGCCACATTGTTGAATCCTGGAGTGAACATTGTTTCTCTTGACTTATTCGATCCAGTGTGTATGGTCGAATAGTTTGTTGATATTGTAACAATAGGTATGAATGATTCACGGGGGGCTTTATACCTACTGGATGTTCTACTACAAGTTCCATGATTAATATTCGGCCAATCGCCTAGCTCCATTTGCGGTAATTATACGGAGTTACGTTACAATACGGATCACTTTACCAAATTACTATATCCGCGGAGACCCATCTGACATTTAATCCTGAACTAGCAAGTGGATGTACATTGCAACATACACATACAGCGGGTCCACAAGTGTTTGTTGTTACACTGATGACACTGACACCATCAATTATTGTGTCATATTCGCACAGGTCAAACAAAGTTCAAGCAATAATAAATTAAAGTAAATGACTTGTGTCGACAATATTTCTTTAGCTACAAGACCTCAGCCCCACAGTCCATACATCGGGGACTATCTGTCATGTCGAAGGCTCGGATTGCATGCAAAATGCATATTTAGTAAAAAAAGATATTTTCTAGCCATATAATTTCTTATATAGACCTATTAATTCTCCCTTATTACTCTTCAGGTAGCATCCTTCTAGTAATTACTCATTTTGTCATTTACCTGTTTCATTTTTAATTAACTCTAAAAAGGTAAGTAAGGTATCCAAATTTTTGTCATTTGTTTTAATTTATTGATATCTTATTGCTTGTTGAAATGTACAGGGTTCCTATAAATGATTATAGGGTCGAAGTAGGTCATGAAAACGTGCCGCCTCTCACTTTCGAACTTTATTAAATGTCCAAGGAGGCATGACAAGGACCAAATTCATCCGTGTAAGTGGTTATCTAAATGCTTCATTAAAAAATAAAATTAATTCATTTCAACAAAAAGAAACAAATTTATTGCGGTTAAACATCGCAGTAAATGTTGAAAATTTTCACCATTTTGTTCAAGGCACATGTTGACTTTTTTAATTTAAAAAATGTTCTATAATCCTTTCGTCAATTTCTTGTTGTAATAGGAACTCCTGACTGCTGAGGAAATCTTGTCAAAGATGTTTGCGGATTCTGCTCAAGTCGTCTCAAATCATCACAACTTCCTCAGATATTGAAAGTAGTCCAGGAGATTTCCCTTTGCTGATATTGCCAGTTCGAATAAATCTGTTGATTACTTCTCTAATGTGAGTCTTTAGCGATTTTCTTGCATTATCAAATCGCGGTATTTGGCCAGATATTCTTAGCTTGGATCAACGAGAATTACTGAAATTCATACTTGAAAAACGTTAAAACAATAAAAACGATGACTTTAAACGACAGGTTTCAAATGACATTGATGATAAGTGAGAATCATTTATAAATACCCTGTACTATACATCATTTCTAGATTCTAGAATTGTGTGTATTAATTTTAAATAAAATTAATAGGGCTACTAGTTGTTTAAGAAAATATTCTGCTTTTTATATGGATGGGATAACAGAAAGGATAATGATTAACAAGATAAATTCGTCTGAAAACACAAGTTAACTGAGCTGAGCTATGGACCTGTTGTGTATAAATATTATAAATACATATCTCGTCTCAGTCACTTTTGTTCGATTTGCCGCCTTATTTAGGTACCTGCGACCCTTTCGTGTACTCATAACCGTATTCGTCTAGTTTTCCTTGATCCTAAAGGGCTCATGAAACTATCTAGAAGGGACATTTACGATGAGAAGTTTCCGTCTATTTTACTCCTTATGGGGGAGTTTGTTCCTGGAAATCTAAAAGCTTGGTGTATTTACTACTATTATTATTAAAGTTCCAACAGTAAAAGCCATTTATAGGGCATTGTCAGCACATAAATACACACTAGAGAAGAAAATAAGGAAAATAAAATGCAACAAAAATCTAAGTCAAGGTATTCTCACTGTGGCAGCAAAATAAAAAATATTAATTAAATACTTACGCAACCATACAACACAAATCTAGTCAATTAAAAAGAGGGAATTCAAACCTCAAAAATTACGTGTTATAGTTCCTAGAATTTTATAAGTGCTTTAATCGCATCATTGACCTGACATTCAAAAGTAAATTGGAAATTAAACAATACCCTCAGGCGTTTTTTATCGCAGACAAAAAATCTGTACTTAAATAAGTATAACCGTTTTCTTCCTGCGAGCATCTGTAACATTAGTAATATACTCGATGACATGGAAACTGCATCACATCATCGGCAGTGGCGTTTGGAATGGTGTGGGCTAGAACTGAATTGGCATCTTGAGTGGCATAGTGATGAATCTCGCGTCTTGGAC